GTAGTCGCCATCAGTGGAATATTATTTTTAACCAGTCGTTATTCAGAGGTACTTTTGTTATAATGTTCTAGATTCTTTTTTAAATATTTCAAGTTCTCTAGTAAAATTTCGTCACTTCACACTCTTTCCCCCTTTCTGTTATATCTGAATGAAGATTAAAGTAACAGAAATAGAGAAAAACAGTTAGTGCAAGTTAGCACTATATGGTCGGCCTTCAAGCATAGAGTAGCAGCTCTTGTCTTTGCTGTGTAACTGCCTCACACCCGGCACGGTTGAACTCCATTGGTTATGGCTTCGTACTAGGACTTTGAGCATTCCATCGTCAAGCTAGTCACTATTTAGTATATGATAGTTGTCACGATAAGTATTCGTGCTCGAGACCGAAGGTCTTGGGGCTTGGGTCTTGCGGGGATCATGGATTTGCACTATCGGAGAGTCCCATACTAGGATAAAACGTTCGTTCGTCCAGTGTCTCCAGGTTTCCAATGGTGGTCTAACATTCATCAGTTCATGATTTCAGTAAGAGCCGGAAATGTTGTACATACTAATGTTTTCTCCTATTATTTGTCTAGATCTTAAAATAATACACTTCCGAAGTAACATGCTGAGTTTTTTCCAAAAAATAGTCATTTCATAGTTGAGTGTAATATATTTAATTTACAATAAAATTCTCTTTTTTAAAACTAAAACTCTGAGATTTTAACGTTATCTCGTTTATTTTTCAAAATCGTTTCTATATATTTATATGCCTGTATATAATGTCTTCTGGTTTAACAAATTTAATTTAAAATCATAAACCGATCAATGTTAGACGACCATTAGAAACCTGGGGGTACTGAACGGCCGTTTCATCCCAGTATGTGACTCGTCAGCAGTGCGTATCCATGACTCCTGCTACCCGCAAGGTTCGATCCCGAGGACCTTCGATCCTGCATGCGAACGCCTAAACGTCTGACCGATGAGCCGGCATCCTACGGTGTTAGTGTCTAACCTTGATCAACCCACGGTCTTGCGCAGCCCACGAGTAGCAGGAGCCGTGGATGCACATTGCAGATGAGTCCCATACCGGGACAAAAAGGCCGTCCAGTACTTCCAGGTTTCTTATTGTGATCTAACACAGATCAATTCATAATTTCAAAAGAACTCAATAATCTACATAACTCTATAATAAAAAGTTTCATTTAGATTTAAATCATCTTCCACATTGTTGGTTTATTGAATGGTATTTCTATTTCAGGCTGTTCGTTATGATCATCATATAGCTGGAGCAAAATATTGTGTTTTACGAATGTTACATGATTTCGGTGGTACACCTGTCTATGAAAATGTATTAGCTGCGAATGAACTACGTGATTTATGGTATTTATTTTTGTTTGAAAGTTAATTTTGATTTAAAAGTGTTCAGTTGACTAAAAGTTTTATTTGTCTATGTTAGTGGAACATAGATGGGTTAAAGCGTGACTGCGTTAGTTGCGCGCTGATTGGCTAATTTCCTATCCAATCAGCGCCTGATCGATTCTTGGAGAACAGGATAGAAAATTCTCGTGTTGTTAGCTGCACTCTGATTGGCTAGATCTAATCCGGTCGATCACGTGAATTACTATCCGGAAGCTTCTCATGTAAATACTATAAAGAAACTAACGTTGTTTCTTTTTCGCCTTCGGCTTCGGCTTCTTATTTCCATTTAACCTTGGTATCTGGAGCATAATCTTTTCCTGTTCCACAGTGTTTTTGATTCTTTGGAACTTGTCCAGTGTATTGTGGTCAGAGTATACTAAGCAATAGGAATTAGCTGAATATTATTCAAGCAAGCGTTACAACAGTCTATCTACCTATAAATGTTCATTATAATCCTTTTTATTAGATCGATTTTGTAAATATTAGTACCTTATGTACACACCACCAGTGTTCGGCAATGATTTCACTAGAACGGGAATTTAAAACCAAGTTTTATAAAGTTTTTAGAGTGTACTAATCATGTCGAGGTTACAGGACTTGTCCCCCAGCCTTTGGGAAATTTTATCAATCCATTCCGTTAAATTAATCTCTAGAAACATGTTGACTATATATATTTCGAATTTTTTAGTAGAATTTTAAATTGTTGTATTTGGATATGTTAAATTAACACTTCTCTCGTAATCTATGATGAGTAGTCAGTCAGTCAGTTACAACGTAGAACTTCATACCTTCGTACATCAGTTCAGGTTGCCATACCGCATTAGCGCAGAGACATAAATGTCAGTTCAAATCCAAGAGTGATAGCGATAGTAGAAGTATTAGCAGAAATGGAGAAGATTGGGGATCGAAGATATTATTCAAGAAGTATAGTTCAGTGAGATAAACTTTAGAACGAGAAAGATAGAGATGATGATGAATTCAGGTTTGAATTTGAGATAACACAAAAAGTGGATGCTCCTGTGCCATTTGCAAACGATTTTGAGCCATGTCGTTCAACGTCTCTAACCATCGATTACTATCATCTCACGGACCTCAACCAGGTTGTCTAGATCTACCGACATAACTCAGTCCATTTGTCAATGACTTCATGGAATTGTGCCATGTTTTGGCTTGACCGTCCCTAGACTTTTTCTAACCTATTCCTACACCACAAAACACAGCAGTCAGTTGTTGGGCATTCGTAACACATGTTCCAACCACCTCAACTGATGAAGTTTCACTACTTCATCTATTGATCTGCCATCCCTACCTAGTACTCGTTTCCTAACGATAGCATTGCTTACTCGGCTGTCTCAGGATATAAGAGTAATGCTTCGAATACATTTTTAATCGAATACTAACGAATTTCTTCTACTCCGATTGGCCATGTTTCGCAGCCACAAAGTAGGACAGAGCGAACTGCTACGCAATACATTCGTCATTTGACCTCATAATGTGTATGACTATACAGCATTTTCGCTACCGAGATTGAATAATCCTGTTTATGTGTAATAGATAGCTGTTTGTTTGGGCATAAATGAATCCTGTACAGATTAGTTTGATATTGTCATTAGAATACAGGCATTATTAGCAGAGATGGATAGCCGGGTAGCAATGGGATCCAGGATGTGATTTTCATCCTGTGGTAACTGAGTGGAAAACGCGATGGCGTTTTGAGGCGTAAGCTACTGGGTTCAAGTTCAGTTTTAATCAACTGACAAGTCCCAAATAGGACGAAACGTCATCATCTATCTCTGCTACCAATGGTAGAGTAGTTGGAAAACTCTGCTCTAAAGAAGTTCAGTTGTAAATTTTTCAAATTTGTTAATAAATAATGGCACGTTTGTGGTGGTGTTTATTAGATATAATTCCTGAACTTTTGTATAGTGCTCATCCTAATAGCCGTTACTAGATGATCCCCAACGGCATATGTATATATATAAGCGAATAACATGGGCGTAGGCGGTAACCAATGCTCAAGCATACAAGCTCAACAATAATAAAAGTACAAAGATATCGACAAGTTGTCGCTGTTCCAATGACGCTGTATGTTAAATAAGCTAATGAAAGGACTCAACAAAATTAAACGTAAACACACTGAAATATATGTGAGGTGCTACACGATTATTGCAGTTTACAGTAATTCTGAATAACAAACGATTGAGTTATTCTAGCGCGTAACGTCAATTATACGAACCAGACGGACCGATCGGATACTGCATTACATTACTTCAACGTTAATATTCCTTCGCACACAAATAGTAATAGGTGTGACCTTAGAACGTTAAAATGTCGATATATAAATGTTAGGACGACTAAATCATATAACAGCGAAGGTTAGCGGGGAGATTTAAATTGGCAGAAAAACATTGCACGACTTTACTGACACGTCAGATAATTTAAAGTATTTGTAACCATTTATTTACCAATCGTTCATCTAATACAGTTATTATTATTATTAATATTATTATGTTTATCTCTAGTGCTATTTGGAATATATTAGATATCTATAATCATGAAATGTCTATACGATCAGAACGTTTGAAAACTGCTCAACTTACATTAAACAATTCAACAGATATCAATTCATCTCCTTTATCAACAATGACACCTGACAGTCTTCCAATTCCAGAGAAACGTGCTCGTGTAGACGAAAATTTATCAAATACAACATTAATATTAGTTGATAATCATATTTCAAATGATGATCCTAGAGAAGAAATAATTAATAATCTCAATGAAATTGTATTAACTATTCCATATGAACGTAGATTTTGGCCTGATCATGGAACTAGTCCAAAACAAATATTACGTGAACATTGTAAATTGTTAAAATGGGATTCGCCTAAATATGAAACTGTAAGCTTTTGATTTTTTTTTTTGTTATTTCGAGAATATTTGAATATTTTGAAATTGCAATTAATTTATTTTTACAAGCACTGGACAACTGTTTCGTCCTGGCACGGATCTCTTCAACTGTGCGTGTTCATGACCTCGGCATGCGGGAATCGAACCCAACACATTCGGTGTCGCGCGTAAACACTTAACCAATAGACCATTGAGTCAGCATCCGGCGGTGTTAATGTCTAACTTCAATCAATCCACAGTATTGCGCGACCTCATCCACTGTCTTTGGTGTGCTTTAGAACTTTTCAGTCTGTTTAAGTTCATTTCGGTTAAACCCTTTCATCACCTACGTAACAAACAGAGTCATCGGAACAGCAACAACTTGTCTATACCATGGTACTATTATTATCATCACGTTTGTATGGACATGCATGCTTGAGCACTGGTTACCGCCTACTCACATATTCGTTCTACCAGCTTTTTTGTTGGTCGCTTAAACAGTTCGATGACTTATACATTTTCCTATACATATATACATTTCGCACCGATTCAATCGCTATCCGGTATTGGCATTTCATTTCGCTCACACTTTGTATGCCTGTGGTTTTGTGATCAGTGCCGGGGGTCATGGATGTGCACTGCCGAAGAGTTCTATGCTAGGATGAAACGACTGTACAGTTCTTCCAAGTTTCTAATGATGGTCTAACATTGTTCGATTCATGATTTCAGTGAAACTCAACAATCTCCACAATCCTCTGATGAAAATTCTAACTCGATCATTTGTGTTATTGGTAAACATAAGCGAAGTAGTAATCGAATCAATGAATGAACACAAACTTCTTCCCTTCATTAATAATAATTAATCATACAAATTATCTTCAAGAAAAAATTCATGTCTATTTCGCTTCAGTAGTATCGGTTGGTTAGTTTGTGCTACGAAAATTTCATTACGTTACAATTAATGGCTACCAATGTTGCTTTCGCCCATTCAAATTCATCCCATAAACCAATGGACCCCTCATTAAAAGTTAACCCCACCTAGAATTTACATAGAATTAAATTACCACAATTATTAGTCATGTGCAAAATGAATGATAGCTCACATACCAGTCAGTCAGTCAGTATGTTGTTACGGGTATGTGGGCGGATTTCACTTCCCGGTTGCCCACCCGTCGAAGGATGATTCTTTAAGAACCTGAAAAGGAAGGTAGATTAGTGTTGGTCTGAGCGACATGGGAGCTTGACCGCAGAGCCTAAGGAACATCTGCTTGGGGACGGTCACACACGGTCTTCTTATGAGAATTTTTTCAAGTGTTAGCTTCGTTCTTGTTTAAAATGCCTTACCGCTGGAGACAGAAATCCGTGAAGTAGGGTGAAGTGTGACATTTTTAGAGTCGACCTTTTCTAACCCCTTACTTCCTTGTGACAAGGTAGCATTGCTGCAGACGCTGGTTGTCCGAGGGAAACAGCTTACTTATGCTACACCCCTCACAGTCAGTCAGCAGTAAGACTTCGCCCTTAGACCTTGAGTACCTGTTTTTAGTCTCATCGTTCTCCAATCGACCTGCCTAGCATGGTAGAACCTACAGGAGCATATGTTCCCTCCAATATAGCTCGATTGGATGATCACGATAGGCAAGCCCGACCACCACGTCAAGGTAGCAGCTACGGTCGGGAGCTCACATACACCGCTCCTATAATTTATTGTACATTAAACTGATTTCTGAAATCATCTATTGTTGTTATATTTTTCAAATGTGTGTTTTTGGTCTTTGTAAAAATCTACAGATTGAAAATCGTGACAAACGATCATTTTTCAGTACTGTTTTAGTGGATGGTAAACGTTATCGAAATGCTAGCGCGTAAGTAATATATAGTGAATTACATGTATACTGTTGTCGTTTATCCATATTTCATTTGTAGAACTGTGGTTTTATTAATTGACCTAATAAAGTTGTACAGTCAGATATTAGTTTATCTGTTAAAATGGTAAACTATTTCAATGTATTTTTGCGTTGTTTGTAGTTGATTAAGTTACTCGATTGTTGTTGAATATATATATATATATATATATTCGACTAATGGTTATCGTTTAATGTTATGGCTTTGTATTTTCCCAAGGTCCCCATCGTGTATGGGTGACCTGTGAGTAACCAATACACAATAAGGACGAGAGAACTACTACTCTATGCTTGAATTTTGAGTTAAGCTAATTGGTTAGATGTTGTTAATTTTTCTTTAAGGTTGGCATTTTTTCCAATGTCGATCTCTTGAGATATTTAGTGGTACAATCTAAAATAGGTCATTGCGTTCCAGTTTCATTGATTCCTTTAAATATTCAGTTACGTCATTCATAACTCTACGTTCTCTTGTTATTTCAGAAATAGATTTTTTAGATGGGTAGATTTCTGTTGCACAGGTGAAATTAAGTTGTCTCTCTTCTTATCGTGCTGTGTTGTTGTGAATTGTGGTAACCTGGTTGAATGAATATTTGTATCAGGTTATATATGTGCTCTATTGATTTCAATGAAACTGAACAATCTCCACGATTTTGTACTGATTGTTATCACGTGCCCACTAGTGACTAGCTTCATCAGGGAATTCTCAGAGTTTTCTAGTCACGTGCCATGACTAATGGAGTTCAACCGTGTCGGGTGTGAGGCAGTTATACGCCAAAGACAATAGATGATGGTTACACAACATTGCGTATTAATTAACGTTAGACATTAACACCGTTGGATACCGGCTCAGCAATCTGCAAGTTAAGCTGTCGCGTGCGAGACCTATGATCTTGTGTTCAGTTCCTGCTTGTGCGGTCATGGATGCGTACTGCCTGGATAAAATGTCTGCCCGGTGCTTCCAGGTTTCCGATGATGATCTAACATTGACCAATCTATAATTTCTATGAAACTGAACAATCTCCACAACCTTATACTGACAGTTGATGACTTATATTGAGTAACTAGTGGATTGTTAACAGTTTTGCATAGCTTCTATAACTGTAGTGAATGAGAACACAGGTGGGGGCAACCGAATTGTATTTAACGAAAATTACAGAGTTAGTCAGTAAAATCGGAAAACCATATCGTATATCGTTCATTTGCAAAAGATCAGTTCATCCTATGGAACTGAACTGTTCCTGTTGCCAAACATCAATCCATTGTCACTCTTCATGCGTTTCATACAAATTCCATTGTTTTCTGACTCTTCCTTTCTTGATCTTCCCCCCATATTATGCTACCAGACTTTACGTTAACACTCACGCTATATACTACTTATAAGTAGTTCGCAACACAGCACCACACTCGTCCCCCCTTTTAATAAGCTGTCGTCGTGGTCCTTCAAAACAGAGCCCCTGGTCAGTTAATATCACCTTCCGTATTCCGTGACACGCTACACTATGCCGGATTACCACTTCGGTCATCGTTCTTGATCACTGGTCTGGAATGGATACGGCATCTATCCAACGTGTAGCGTCCACAAGTTCCCGATGCTGGAACACGGCGGCAGGCACACACTCGATAAATTGCGACGCCAAAGACTGTGCCCCGTCCACTCCGCACGGCGCAATCCGGTGAGCTCCACAGCAAGCACCAACAGGTCACCATCGGCCGACAGCCGCGCCAACCGGAACCTCTGCGGCGCCTCCTCCCTGTCCGCTGGGCTGTCGAACTCCATTATCAGCCGCCCGGTGACCGTCTCCCACGCCGTCTCCTTGGTGGCACCGTCCAGGCTGTCGTGCACCGCCTTCGCCTCACCTCCCCACAGCGTCCCCAGCACCGTCAACTCCGCCCCAAGCCCCCACCAGCTCCACCGTGGCCCCAAACTCCTCCAGGAAGCTCCGCCAATCTCCGTCCTGCAACTCCTTCGGCCACGGGAGCCCCTTCCTTCGAGCAGGCAGCGACACCAAATGTAGTGAATGAGAACACAGGTGGGGGCAACCGAATTGTATTTAACGAAAATTACAGAGTTAGTCAGTAAAATCGGAAAACCATATCGTAAATCGTTCATTTGCAAAAGATCAGTTCATCCTATGGAACTGAACTGTTCCTGTTGCCAAACATCAATCCATTGTCACTCTTCATGCGTTTCATACAAATTCCATTGTTTTCTGACTCTTCCTTTCTTGATCTTCCCCCCATATTATGCTACCAGACTTTACGTTAACACTCACGCTATATACTACTTATAAGTAGTTCGCAACACAGCACCACATAACTACATTCATATTATAAGCGAAGATGACTCAATTATTTCGTTCATACAAGGTATCGCTCAAAATTAACTAGCCTACTAATCAAAATTGAACGAACTTAGTTTGATTTTCTAACCGCACTTGATAATTGAAGACTTCTTTGTAATGCAATTCAAAGCAATGGAATGCAGAACTCTCATTTCAAACCATTTTGCACATACCAACATCTAAGTGTTAATGCTTGTACTGAAATTTAGAAAAATTTGGTTCAAGTTTCAATGTGTGAACATCGATACTAATGCTAGTATACGTCTAGCTGATGCCTTTCAAGTAAATTGAAACACGCTTCTTGGATTTCACTATTCACCACATTTATTAATATATGTGCCTCCAAGTGCCCTGGTACAATTGAGAGTGAGAACAGTTAACTTTCCCTTGCGAAATGCTCTTATATGACCATGCGTATATAGACACTGTCAAGAAAGTCCTACTGACTACCTTCTTGTGACTGGGATGTTGTTAACAAAATTAAGAGAACGAAAAGCGAATATTCGGTGCTTTAATCTGGTTATTTAGCACCGAAAATCCACTTAGGGGAGTTGTAAAACCCCAACTCCAAACCAAAGGTGCACATAGGCTCCAGATTCCTGATGGAACGAGTGGTGTATGAAATCTATTGTTGGTCACCTGCTACCATGGGATTGCACCTCCTGACGTTGCTACGCTGACTTGTAGACTAGATCTGTAGGTGAAAGAGTCCGGGGGTGTCAATGAATTATACTCTTTGAACAATATCTTCAAATCCTAATCTCCATTACCAGTAATACTTTTACTACCTCTACCACAATCGGATTTGAATTGACAGTTGCATCTTTTTGTGCTAATTAATGTGGTATGGCAACTTGAACACTGATGTACATACGTACAAAGTTGTACATTGTAGCTGACTGACTGACTGTCTGATAGTGCGCTCTTTTCTCTTCGTTATCATTCATTGTTTCACTTTTGGTTAGTATTTTTGTTAGGATATTCACTAAATATCCTACAAAGAATCATTTTGTAAGTGTAAATTCTATTGGTCGATTCCTATCGGTCAATATTATGGTCCTAGCTATCAATGTCATGTATTTCAATGTCGTTTTCTATTCGACCTAACTGTATAAACACGCATTATTTGTAGCGTTTTATGACCCGGACCCGGATCCCTAGTTCGGGATCCTGATTCTCTTCTAGACTCGAACCTCGTAGTTTCTGGATGCTTGTAGAATACACGTCCTACTTCATATCAAGTCTTCTCCTTTTACTCAATGGGGGTTGGATCACTCGGATTAGAGTAGCCTGTCGTGTCACCGGATCCTCAATCCTCATTCTCATTTTCCGACTAAGGTGAAACTCGTCCTATCAAATGGATATGTTTACGTGTATGTGTAACAATTTTTCCTTTTTTTAAAACAAGTACTTTCTTTTTTCTCTTGTTTCTTTATCTTTTAACAGATGTAAATCGAAAAAGTATGCTGAACAAGCAGCTGTTTTAGTTTGTTTACATGTATTAGGTTTACCAGATGGAAAAATCCCAATTGATGAAAACACCGCCAATCACATTGATGATCCTGATAAATAAATCAACAATTATTTTCTCTTTTTAAGTCCCTTTTTTTTACTATTTTTTATAATTTTATCGTAACACCCCACATGTGGTTTTTTTTTTGTACAAAATTTATTGTACAGTAATGATTTGTAAATGAAATGCAATAAAATAGTTATTCACTGGAGAGGCTGTTTTTTTTCACACACACACACTCTCTCTTGATATTTTGATGCAATTGTTTTTGTTGAGATGAAGTTTTTTTTAATAAAAAACCAACTAAAAAAGGTAACATTGACATGTTCAATACATTTGTATTGGTTGTTTAAATTTTCTCATTGATAGTTAGGATCTTAGTTTATCAGTCAGTCAGTCAGTCAGTAAGCAATAACGTAGAACTTTCAGTACGTATGTACATCAGTGTTCAAGCTGCCCTACCACATTAGCATACAGAGAGAAATGGAATTGTCAGTTCATATCCAATAGTAGTAGAGGTATTAGCAGTAATGGAGAAGATTTGGGTTCGAAGATAGTATTCAAGAAGTTATAATCTAGTGAAATAAGTTTAGATTGAAGAAGATAGAGATGATGAGGAATACAGAAGATTAGAATTCGAGAGAACACAACGAGTGAATGCACTTGTGCTATTGCAAACGGTTTCGAGTCATGTCACTCGAAGCGTCTAACCATCGGTTACCATCGTCTCGCGAACCCCAATCAAGTAGTCTACACTTACACCAACATGGCTCAGTCCACTTGTCAATAACTTCATTCATTTGTGCTATGTTTTGGTCTGGCTTCGGACTGCCGTTTCTGTCCGATATGAGACTCCTCAGCAGTGAGCATCCACAACTTATCTAAAAATGTAACAATGACACATCTTCAGTACATTTTTATTGGTTGTTTGAATTCTCCCATTGATAGTTAGTGCAATTTATCAGTCAGTCACTCAGCAATAACGTAGAACATTTAGTACGTATGCACATCATTTCACATTGCCAAACCACAATTGTCTAATCTAATCCAATAGTAGTAGAGGTAGTGAAAGTATTAGCCGTTATGGTGAAGATTAGGGTTTGAAGATAGTATTCAAAGAGTTATAATCTAGTGAGATTAGTTTAGAAAGGGAAAGATAGAGATGATGAGGAATTCAGAAGATTAGAATTTGAGAGAACACAAAGAGTAGATGCACCTGGATTATTTCAAACGATTTTGAGCCATGTCATTCAAGGTCTCTACCTATTGTCTTGTGGACCCCAACCAGGTAGTCTACACTTACTAACATGGTTCAATGCAGTTGTCGCTGACTTCATTGATTCCCTCCATGTTTAAGTCCGGCATTGGACGGCTGTTTCGGTCTGCTATGGGATTCATCAACAGTGAGCATCCATAAATTATTTAAAAATGTGACAATGATATTGTCAGTACATTTATCATTGGTTGTTTGAATTTTCCAAATGATAGTTAATTATGCAATTTGTCATTCTCATCCACTTGATAAATCCTAAATTGGACGAAACATGCATCCTAAATTCCTCTACTTATTCGCATCTTTAATCATGATAATATTCAGCAACTCTAATCAACGTTTCCAAAAAAAAAAAGTTTCCTTCAAATTTTTTTCTTAATACAATCTTGATTATGATGAATAAAATAGGTTTATAAGTAGATAATTTCTTTTTAATTTAATTATTCAGCATTATTAGATACCTGTAAGTTTCATAGTATGTTGGCTACATTTAAGTTTGCTCAAGAGAATATAGTTGATGCTTATAACATAATGAAACACTATGTAACATTGATGAACAAGAAATACCTGATAATCTCTATTGAATTCAAATTGGCAGCAATTAGCTTCATAATTTAAGACTTGACCTCAACCCTCATATATCACTGTTACGCCTGCATGTAAACAAGTCATTTTGATATGCTTGAACTATTACGAGTTACCTTAGTCGGAAAACGAGAGCGAGGATCCGGTGACACGACATGCTTCTCTAATCCGATGGTTCCCGACCCCCATTGAGTAAAAGAAGAAGACTTGAATGTGAAGTAGAACCTGTATGCTGCAAGCATCCAGAAATTACGAGGTCCGAGTCCAGAAGAGAATCAAGCTCCCGGACTAGGGACTCGATCCCGGTCGTGGTCATAAAACGTTACAGATAATGAGTATTTATACATTTTGGTCGAATGAGAAACGGCATCGAATTCTGTGACATTGACAGTTAAGATGACCACTAAGAAGCAACACCTGAAGTGACATTGATATCTAGGACTACCATTAAAAATTGACCAGTAGGGGAATTAACCAATAGGAGTCGACTAAATTCTCTTAGGATATTGGATGAATATCCTAACAATTACAATATATAATTTACTCACTACCGAGTCCTGATGCTCACAGTACCATTTGTTCAATAGTGTACATTCAAAACTAATAGGTTGGACATGAATGTTATTATTTTCCATTACCTAATGATCGATCAATTTGAAATTAATTAATTAATTGAGAATTGATCAAAAGTGTAGTCTAGTCTGATAAATTTTAATTCAATCACTGTCGTGAAAAAGAACGAATGCAAAATATATCATATAAAAACTAGATAAGCATCAAAAAATCCGTTTCTTCTAATTGTGGTAAACAGTAAATGATTTGATTAGTTAGTCATTTACAGTTTTACATAGATGTTCATTGTTCTGTCCTTGTTTGTACTTTTGTTTTGATTGTATCTCCGTTTTTGATTTGGTTCTTGATCGTATGCTTGCCTATGATTCTTCTGATTGGTTGGTAAATTGGATCAATGTTCATGTGTTTGTTGATTGCTGATTGTCCTGAGTGTGCCAAACTTCTAAAAATTCTCTAGTGTATTCCCTCTATCCAGTAGTAGTTCAACATCTTATCCAATCGAATGCATGTTCACAGTTGTCCTCATGTATTGATATAAAGGAGAAAATGTCATGGCGTTTGATGTTCATGCAGACGAAGCTAAAAAGAGGACGTCCACTTTGCCCTATGCAGTGTTTATTTTTGTAGATGATGTCCGGTTTTCATTCTTTGTTCATTTTGTCGTTTGGTTTCCGTGGGACTGATCGAAGTGATTTTGTTGGTTTAATGCTATACCTATTCCAAACGGCTTCAATAATCGTGTTGCAATTTCCGATATGTCTTTTATATATGCTAAGATGATCTATTTTTCGATTCCTGAACTTGACAGTAATACCAATCAGAAAGTCCCAAAATTTTGAGAATATAGTTTGGGAGGATAAAATTAAAAAGTGAATGTGCAGACAATACTAACCACTCAAGATGTAAATTAGGATAGACAGTGAATATACATCTTCATTGTAACTGCTTGAGATTCATTTCAATCAACATTTCCAACTATCGATTTACATTGTTGCTTTGAAATCATCCATATAGACTACATCAACCAACATGTCTCAGATTAATGATGTGTTGTGAATGCTAGATATTCAGAAATCGCTTGATTGACTTCTTAATTTTGTAATCTATTTTTGGAGATTTGAATTTTTTACGTTCGCGCCAAAAGCACCCCTTATTACCTTTCCACTTATAGAAGGACTTTCTTTACACATCATTGATTAGTTTTCTCTTTTAGTACGCGGCTTTGTAATTTTTCCCAAGGATGCTTTTTGTATTGGATGAATAGCGCATGAATTTGATGCTTGGCGATTCATTCGCGCTTGGTCGCCTGTAGATAATGCATTTTTCCAACTGACCATGGAATTCTTGTTCTAGTTAACTGGGCTGTGCTGCAAATAAGATCTCAGTGTTCCTGTTATTGTGTCACTTGTTTATTGTTCCGTTTGCCGATATCAAGCTGTATCTTAATTATCTCAAGCATTGCATGATGCCAGATTTTGTCAAAACTTGAGAATAATTATGAACAAAAACATTTCATTTCACATGAATCTCTCATTTTAATTAGTGTTCATTTTTGTCTTCTGTATATTTATTTGTAAATGAACTGTTAGTGTACATCGTAAACATATACGAAGAGTTTGTTTAATAGTACAATGTTGCATTGAGAAATAAAATAAGTCATGCAAATTAATGAAAGTATATTTTAAAAATAAATAGATACGGAAAATTTATCAGCTAATGTTAATCAAAATACAGTAAAAATGTTCTCAGTATATAAAAAAAACTCCAAACGAAGTTAAATAAAGCGCTACATTTCAAAAATGGTAGTCAGTCAAGTGAATTATGATTTTGAAAGAGTTGATCATTGATCAAAATGAAGATATGAGCATATTGAAAGTAAATTCTTTCTAATAAGTACGTAAGAAATGTTGTGCTGTTTGCTTAAGGATGATTGGTCTCGTGTGCTGTTACGGGTATGAGGGCGGTTGTCACTTTCAGGCTGCCCACACCGTGGAAGGTTGTTTCTTGAGGGACCTGAAAAGGAAGATAGATTAGTGTTGGTCTTAACAACCTGGGATCGTGACCGCAGAGTCCAAAGGGCAACTGCTTGAGGCCGGTCACGCACGGCCTTTGTATGAAAGGATTTTCGAGTGTTAACTCAGCTCTTAAAGGCCCTTAGTGGGCAACCCTTACCGCCGGAGACGGAAATCCGTGAGGTAGGGTGAGGTGTGACATTTTTAGGGCCGATCTTTTCTAACCCTTCCTTCCTTGTTAGAAGGCACTATCGCTGCAGATGCTGCTTGTTGTCGGAGGGAAACACCTTACTGCTGTCACACCCCTCTACAGTCAGTCAGCAGTACGACTTCGCCCTCAGACCTTGAGTACCTGTTTTTAGTCTCATCGTTCTCCAATCGACCTACCTGGCATGGTAGAACCTTCAGGAACATATGTTCCCTCCAATATAGCTCGATTGGGTCATCACGATAGGCAAGCCCGTCCACCACGTCAAAGTAGCAGTTACGGCCGGGTCATCCTAACCTTTCCGATTACTTCTAATACCTCTACTACCTCTTGTACTATTGGATTTGGATTGACAATTATATCTCTGTGCTGATGTGGTATGGCAACATGAACTGATGTACTTACGTACAAAGTTCTACGTTGCATCTGACTGACTTAAGAATAATTGATCACAGAAATGTTGAGGTATTGAGATTTTTAGAACGATTATAACAACTCAACTAATTATGTAGTTCTAGTATGTGAGAATTTAGAGATTATTGAGTTAAAAATTTTACATG